CATGAGCCGAGAAATCTGCAGGCTGTCCTCTTCACGACACATTCCTGACACCTTGTCAGACTGTGGGGGTAAAGAGTCATGGAAGGCAGCAACTTTGCCCCGAAGCTCATTCTCCCGGGTAAAACTCCACGTGACAGGAGCGATGGCTTGAAGGGAGAGGCGCGGGGCAGCTAAGCGGTTCTCTCTTGGCATTCGCCGCAAAACACGAGCCCTTTCTCACCTAGGTCCCCCAGTAGTGCCCTTTACCGGAGGGTTCCCCTACTAAAATAGACTACAGAGAAAAAGGGTACCCTTATTCAAACCTCTCCACTGGAGGACCTAGTCACTTTAGCATTTTTTTTAACCACGGGAAATCATGGGACACCAGAGTGCTTGAGGCCCCCGTTAATAAGAGGGGCCTTGCATGTGCAGGGCACGTGCGGTGGTCTTGCTTTGGCCCCCCCCCATCAGGTGCCTTTGTCGGATGCATTTCTGAGTTCCCAAAGTGTCGCAAACTGACTTCTAGAAGGTGGATTTCCGAGCGGTTCATTCAGGAGCCCCGGGCTCAACATTCTTAGAGGACAAATAGCCTTGACTGCCGTGGCTCAAATGCCGTTGGCCTACTGAGATTGACCTTGAAGAAGCGGCGTTTGAACAACGTTTGTTTCCGCACGCGCCATCTACTCGCTGCCGAGATGAGTGCCTGAGTCTGCAAAAACAACGGTCGCACCATTTAATCTGAAAAGCCAATTTTCGAGAGCCCTGTTTGAGCACTGTCGTCTTCGAACAGATCTGAGGCTTGAACACACAATCCCCTGTTGCACTTTGGCGAGGTGCTTTGTAAGGATGCAGGGGCCGTCATCAAGACATGCTTGATTGCTGCGGTTTGCGAATTTGCTGAGACTGCATTCTTTGAATAAAGGCAGGCTTGCAGTGTATGTAGACCTTGTTCTTGGCAGTTTCGTCTTGTTTCTTTGAGCATTTGGTCAAGTAGGAAAATACATTTTCTTTGGCAATGGCAAAGGTGGAGCCGCCCTCTTGCAGGTGCTCTTCACCGCTTTAGATTCCAGCGACAGCTACGATGTCTTCGTCTTGGCTCTCAGCGATGCCCGGCTCTTGGCACGCTGCTGTGTCGGGGACGAGGCTGGGAGTGGATCCACGTGTCGTGGTGTGGCGCAATGGAGGGTGTGTGTGTGTGTGTGTGCGTATAATGTTCGACACCGCAGAATGTACCAATCGCCTGTGGAGCGCGATGCTCAAACGCCAGTGGACATGGGTGATTCTTGACTTGGTTGAAGTCGAACAAATCCTGACAGGGCGCACGCCCGGTTGTCGGTCCATAGGAAATCAGACATTCACCCCTCACAAAGGTTCGAGTAGAAGGTAACTTCCACAGCTTTCCTCTTTGGCTTCTTGGGTTTGAAGCGTCTAAGAACCTTGCCTGTGGGGGGGTGGGGGGGGGGGGCTGGCTGACTGAAAAGCGATACAGATTTCCCGTGTCGTTTTTTTTTTGGGTGTGTGTGTGTGTTTTTTGAGAGCGCAAAAAAAACGACTAAAAATCCCTGTGTGTCAAAAAGCCCACCCACCCACCCCACCCCCATGGGCCCTTCTTTTCCAACGACTAAATCCCTGTGTGTCAACCCCCCCCCCATGAGGGGCCCTTCTTTTTTTTCGGGGGGGGAGGCGCTTTGGTGTTTGGCTCCTGAAAAATCGAGTGGGGCCCTGGCGCTTTGGGAGGTGCAGCTCCTAGAGCTGCCGCTGCCCAGGGCAGAGCTGCAGCGAGTCACGGCCCTGGACCTGGGGCCACACGCCAGGTGCACGGCACAGACATAAGGGGATTCCTTTTCCGTTCTTTTTCTAGGGTGTTGAAAAACTTACCTCTTAAAAACACAACCTTTCAACTTTTTGGGGGTAACATGGGCTATATGTCTGTAAAAGATTAACTTCCCCAGGTTTTAAGGGGTAAGTCTAGGGTGTTGAAAAAGAAGGCCGGTGTTCATCGGCATCAGGGGTTGAGTCCTTTCCCATTCTTTTTCAAGCATCGTTCTTTTTGAAGACCGGCCGCTTTCCCTGGGTTTAGTGGGGATTTTGGGAAAGAATGGGAAAGGTACCCCGAGACACCGTCTGGTTGTGGAGGGTCGGGGCCTGACAGTCTGGAGCAGACAAACCGGGGGAAGCTCCCTGGGTTCCTTTCAGTTTAAAAAGCATGTCATTGCCGGGTCAATGTGAGAACCCGCCATCCGATTGGGTGTGGTTCACCTTTCCTGGACTTAAGTAAGACTTGTCGGGGTTTGGTTGCCAATGCAGTACGTCGAACAAGAAGTTTGGACTTGCTTGGGACCAAGAGAGTCTGGGGAAGCGCAGTGTGAGAGGTGCAAAAGGCGACTTGGCAAACAAAATCCATGAATGCAACTTGCCAAGGCGTGGAACTGGTGGAATGGCTTGTGCATATGAAGAAAACAACCAGGAGGGTTCCGGGTCCTCGATTCAGTAGATGAGCCAGGGCCTCGTACCAGGAGAGCTCATATCAGCTACGCACGTTATGGGGAACAATTCTTCACGCCTTGTTCAGAATGTTTGCATGTTTAAAAACTTTTGGGAATGGCTTGGAGCATTTCAGGATGTGTTGTTACTTTTCAGAATGTTTTGGCATCGTGTGAAGTGTCTGGCGTGTTTTGGCAACCTGGAATAGTTTCTGGAAGGTTTCAGTGTTTGTGGCAGGTAAGCTAGCAGGCCAAGTGTGGCATTGTAGACAAGAGGTTTCCCTTGCCCAAAAAGGGCAAAGAGGCAAACCCCAGGACACATTCCTGGAAGACTGCCACCCGTCGAGAGCTACAAGTGTTAGAATGCAACAAAATGATGGCAAAGCAGTTGCGTGTTGGCATGTTTCAGAATGACATGTCATGCTTAGGCAGGAACCAGAATGAACTTGCAAAACAAAGTCTGTTAAAGTTCTGAATAATAGCAAAACATATGAAAACTTAGAAACACATCACACACTTTCTGCAAAATTATAAACGCATCTCAAAAACTTGAAAAAATACCTCAAGGCATCATTGTTTGATGGCGCCTTCCCCCTGTTGTCATGCCTTTTTTACAACAATATTAGATTAATTCATTCATTCCATATTCATGGAAATTTACTTAATTGTTTTTTCTGTGAGTTCCATGGATCCCTTTGATATGCACCTTGAGAGTCTCTAAAGATCGATTTTGCCCCACACGGCACACGTCATGGATGTCCGGGGACGAACCGGTGAATCTCGCATGGGGTGCTCGTAGACCGGCCGGGAAAGACCATTGCCCCTGTTCGACCAAAATGTGCATGCGTTCGCGCTACCACACACACAGCCATCAATTAATTGCGTAGGCGTTTGGCGACCATGAATCATGCAACAGGCCTGCGACTCCCCGCATGCGCAAAAAAAAAATCAGGGGGCCCTCCCCGCGGCAACCGGATCATCGCGCATCCGAGAGCCCATGGAACCCACATTTCGGGCCAGGTACCTGGCAGTGGCCTGCGAGGCATTGCTGGTGGTGGTGCCATTGCTGGAAGTCCTGCCCCCTGCCAGGACTGCGGCTTGTTGGTTTGGAAGCCCTCGGCCATCAGCGGAAATAAAGGAGGCGATGATGAAATGTGTTGCCTGGTTGCTTAAATCACTTGATGGCTGATTGGTTGGATCTTTGGACTTGAACTTTTGGGGAAACAGTTTTTTTTCATTGTACACGTTTTGCATCGTTTTGCTGAGGGGTCAACTGAAGATCAGAGCTTGCTGCATACAGATGTTGCAACATGTAGCAACATGCTGAACACCATCGCTGCGGGAGGTTTCCAGCATCGCTCACATATTATAAGAGCACAGGCAGCCTCCGCGAGAGATAGCATGCAAATGACGCGGCCTGTTGCAAAGATGTAGTTGCAACTGGATGTTACAGGGCACAGACGCTTGCCTTGATTTGACCAAGTTGCGCACAAACGACATGTGGTATACGAATTGCAACGCTTGGAGCACACTAGCCTACATGGGACACCGCATGCTTGCCAGGTGTTGGTGTGTGTTAAGCTGCCAGCGTCAACCAGTGTGTTCGCAATATCAACGCAGCTGCTCAAGGTGTTGACAGGCGTTGCCCCCAAACGCAACAGACCCTTGAACCGCTTCAACCGCTCACTCGTACCCGTGGCTGTGTTGAGACAGGTTGCCTTCCACAGCTCGCTTTTCTGCAAGTGTCCCTTGAGCATGCGTGTCCGCATTGTGCGGACGGTTTTATTTCATTCATTGCCAGGATGCCAGGGACGCAGAGTAATTAGCACCAGCCAGAACGAGCGCTTACACAAACATAAATCCAGGCTTCGACTTGGAGGTTTTCAAGCCGTCGTTCCTACCTCCACCCGCCTTCTGATTCAGCACCTCTTGCTCGTCCAGCAAGACCTGAGGCCAACCATACAATCAGTGCTGGTGCATGTTCCCAACCAATGGCCAAGCAGTGGGAGGTTGGGTTCCTCAAGTGCTGCATCTTGCCCTGCTGGAGATGCCCTCAGCTGGCGAAGGTACAGGAATGCTCCAGGGTTTTTGGGAATGAACCTTGGGATTTTCCGAAAGGACATTATGGGGGATGGTTTTCAGAGGTTCCCTCATTTCTTGCTGAGAACCAGCAAAGTGTTTTGCAAGGCACATGTTTGGTTGCTTCGTTGTTTTCGACACGAAGCCTGTTGAAGCAGCGCCCATAGCCGAGGCTCGCCCATGCCCCACCTGGTCCTTTGGCCGACCGCTTGGCGGCTGCCAGGAACGAGGCCGAGGAGTGAATCACTGCGTCGTATGGATTCCTTGGCAAGCAACCCCATCACTAGGGGCAAGAAGGACAGAAGGCGTCGCTTTTTGGCAATATGTACAGCACCTACTGCTTTGAGGTGGGAGGTGGTGCAACTCACGCGGTCCCAACTCGTCCCATGTGATCGCGTCGCAGGAGGTGAAAGCTGCTTGGGGCTCGTGGGCGCTTGGAGAACAGAGGCTTGGCTCTGACTTCGGTCCCAAGAGAAAAGTAGGCGGCGTCGGAGCTTCCACTGTGGTTTCCTTTTGGTTTTGCTTGGAAACCACCAAGAAGAAGTACCCGAAACAAGACGCATTCATGTTTTGGGCTTGGCTAGATGCACGCCCTGGTTTACCACACAAGTACCTTCGCAGGCAACATGGTCAAACCATTGCTGCTTTATCATGAATGTCCTTGCTTTGTCGGGGCTCAAGCTGGAGCTTTTGTTGTTCAGGCTTGGATTTATTGAGAGTTTGTGTTTATGAAGCAGTGGCGCGTTCTTTTCGTCGCCCTCGCCCCAACCGCGCTGCCCATCAAACAAATGCCGCGCTGAAACGCCGTTGCAACCCCCCATGGCTTTTATGCTGGTGGGAAAGAATTTCATTTGTGTGTGTGTGTGGTGCGCGTGAGGTTTTGCGATGGTGGTTGCCTGTGTGGGCGTTTCACCGCCGGCTTCTTCGCACGAAAGCTACGAAAAGGCAAACATGTAGTGTGTTCGACGGCCTTCCTGTGCCCTTACGCCGCTTGAGCGCGGGAATCGCATTCTTGACGTTTAACTGAGTCGCGGTGGTCATGACTGCCGAGCACTGGCTCAGCAATGAGAAACATCAAGAGAAGCACGCACATGCGACGGTTAGCACTGCCAAATCTTTGGACTCATGATGCCAGGATCCTGATCTCGCTGTTTTTTTTTTTTTTGTGAAATACCCATTAACTCCATAGGAGTTCGAGGTCTTGGATTCCGGCATGACCTGTAAGCTTTCCATTTGCTTAAACATATGTTGAATGTCCCCTGTTGGTTTTAAAGGGAATTTATCAATTTCTGGAAGTATTTGTATTTTTCCAGGGGTCTTAACCAATTGGAAGTAAGTTGATCGTCAACGTCACGAGTATGTTCGCACACACGCTTGACCTGGCGGGCCAAGGATGCTGGCCGACCTTTTTGGTGGAGTCACGTCGGCATCGCCACCTGGCAGGGGAACACTTCCCGTGAGCTTTGCGGACTAGTCTTTGTTTTGTTTTTCTTCCGGCGACTCCGATCATATAGATTCAATCATGCCTTACCGCGGAAAAGGACAAATAATTCATCGGAGTTGGTGGTCATCATATATGCTGGTTTGGTAAATTCAAAAAAAGACGGAGTAGCAGTATGTATTGTGTTGCGGAGGTGCTTCGCAGAAGGGGTATCCACCGAGAGTAGCGGAACATGCAAACGGTGGCGAAGGGTCAAACACCGCTGAGGACATTCCGCTTTCCAGTGCCATCCATTCAGCAGGACCTGCTCGGAGGGTTGCCAGCCGCGAAGCGTGGAGGGCTTAGCTTATTGCACGAGCACGATTTTGCCCAATGTATTAATCCCTTGTTCCCCCCTCCCCCCGCCAAACAACAAAACGCGACCCCCCCCCCCCAACGCCACCCCCTCCCCCCAAACCAAAAAAAGCAGGGAACACCCTGTATTCTTCGACGGCTCTGGGCTCGTTCCTTCCTCTCCTCCCTTCGTCCTCTCGGCCCGATCCGAGAGGACGGCGACGCCGTGACCTCCATGCGCTGGTGGGTTCAGCCGGGCGAGCCGGAGGTGTCAGAGGCGCAGCCGCCCAGCTGCATCCAGCTAGTGGGTTGGGTCTTTAGACTTTCACTTTTTGGGGAAATCAAGTTGGGCTTTCCACTAAACCCACAAAAAGTTATGCACTTTTGCAGAGGATTGGTTGGAAGGGAGCTACTGAGCAACTGGTTGGAGGGGAGCTCCAACCTCAACAAAGACACATCCCCTTCCCTTCGTTACTAGCAGGGAGCTCAGATGGAAGGGAGGCTCCAACCTGGGAGATTCCCCGGCCTTCTATTTGACTAGTTGCTGGTTGGGGCGCTGTTCCGGAGCTGGGGGTCTCCAAATTTGCCAACAAAAGAGCGACCAGCAGTTCTGTAAGCACATGATAGTTGTTATTTTCCCTTCTCGGTTTTAAAGTGAATCTGTCACTACTGCAAGCATGCTTATTTTTGTACGGAGGGGGGGGGGGCTTAAGTAAATGGACGCGAGGGTTTACTGCCACTGGTCAGGCTGGCTTTTTAGCAAACGGGGATGGTTCTGTCCCAGCGTCAGGCGGCTTCTTGCAACGGGTCAGGAAAATTGTATGAACAAGAGAAGGGCCCGCTGCCTTTCGAAGTTCCAGGACTTTAAGCTTGCCATTTCGCAACTCCGGCTAGAAGCTGACGGTTCTCCTTGCCTTGAGCAGCGCTTCCATTTCCGCTGAGGTTTGATTTGCCATGCGCTTAAGAGGAAAACGGATCCAAGGCTCCATTTGCAGGTGTGCGTGGAGTCATGTCTTGGCAGAATTTGCAGAAGTCAGCGTCGCCAGCGCAGCGCGATAGGAGTTTGGAGTGAAGTTAATGCGTTGCTCCCGCATAGAGCCTGTTGACTCTGCAGCGGCTCTCCGAAGCAAAGATTAGCCCTCATGGAAGAATGCAACTCAACAAACAGAATGCCCTCATTGAACA